GTTTTATCTATCTCAGGCTCCGCCTCCATATCTGACTGCCTCTGCAGGAAGTCACATGAGAGGGGGTATATCTTCTGTTTTATTGGGGGGGGGGTGGCAAGTTAAGTCAAAGTTTTGTTTCAGAGTTCTCTTTTTAAAGATAGTAAATCACTATTCTGTTTTTCCCCCTCCTGCAATAAAAGCGAATAAAATTGCATCCTCTTACACCGAATGCCATAAATCAGGTGAGCTGTGGCAGATGGTGGACGTTACTGGATGACAAAAGTTTTTTTTTTCCCATTTTCCTTCAGAAACATCTGGTCTCTTTACTGGTTTCAAGCCCTCGAATGCACTCGCCCGCGCAGAGATGCAGCCCCCCCCAAGTGGAAACAGATTGCACAGAACATCCGAGGCGCGTTTCCCTACAGGAACCTTTCTGATGGGTATCTTGTAGGCTTTGATTCTGGAGGAGTGCTTTTTCTTCTTATTAAGCTGGATGTGTCATTCCTCATCTCATACCTGTAGACAGGTGAGAGGAGGACATGTAAGTGACTCAGCCTGTGAGCAACAGGCACCTGTAGAGAAGGGCATGGCGGTGTTTCTGAGCCCCCTACTTCACATCGGTCATATCTGCTTCCCTAATGAGATTCTAATGAAAGAACAGTAACAGGTGCAGCACGGGTGTGGGTGTAGAGGGGTGGGGGGCTGTTTCGTGATTCAGGCAGGGAAGATCAGGGGTGCTTCAGGCTGTAAACTCATACTGGGTGTTTCTTTTCCCTCTAGCGGAAAGTATTAGTGAGTGTGATTTACCCTGGGGTCTGCCGCTTCTGCCACACGTCAGACCTCAGATAGCAGAGGCCGGGGTTTTTTTTTTTTTTGGGGGGGGAGGTAATGGGGGCTCTTCCCCTGGTGTTTTCTGCTAGTACACAGGGAACTGAAGGTGAGATTTAGCTGTTTTCATGCAAATGCACATGTGGATTTAATTTATCAGCTGCACAATGTGTGAGTTTGCACCCTGCACTTCTTCAGGTTGTGGCTCACCTTAACACACACACACACATACACACACACACACACACACACACATACATACACACACACACACACTCACATACACACACACACACATACACACACACACACACACACTCACATACACACACATACACACTCACACACACACATACTCACATACACACACATACACTCACTCACACACACACATACACTCACACACACACATACTCACATACACACACATACACTCACTCACACACACACATACACTCACACACACTCTCTCTCTCTCACACACACACACATACTTCTATTGTAGTCTTTATTTGACTTCATGTAAGAAATTCAGCTGTTTTTGTCCGTTGTGCTCTTTAGAATTAAATTATGAAAATAAAGTTGGATCATTACAGTATTATGGATGTGACATTTACTCTCATATTAGCACACAAAATGCCTCAGAGCATGGACAGGCTAAGTCCCAATAAGTCTATTTGTATATCTTTTGGGTTGAATGTAGACAAATCTTTCAATATTCATATATTAATTTGCATGTTACAAATACACAGCATGGACACTTTTATGACATGAAGTGACTTGAATGACCACAACAAGTATAGAACTGAAAATATTTGTTGTTTTAGGGGAAAAAATATTAAATAAAAACTGGCATTATGGATGCAAAATGCTTAGGATGTGATATGCTTGAGTCAGGGCTCCACAGACTATAAAAACCACATGCTTGCATGGTAATTTTTATATGAATGATTTGAAATGGTGGTTAAGAAAATGTATAGTTTGGTAAGAACCCTGTAATGTCTAAATATTCAGTTGTCTCATTGTACCTGTATATCTTAGAATATTACAGTAGTCAGTCGTTTTTAAAAGCAAGCCTATAACACATATATTTAAATTACTTCAGTTAAATTCTAGCTTATCCAAGGTGAAACAGAAATGCTGACTAACGGGGTGAGTTTCCTGAAACCTTAATGCTCTCTCGTTCGTAAGTTCTATTATATACCACAATAAAAGTTAAATTACGGCCGGGGTAATCAGCTGGGCACATAGCATATAGTAGCAGCAAGTGCACAAGTACACATCTTACGAGATCGTTCTTCGAAGGCAAGGTACTGTAGCAAGACCGGTCTTGCCAAGACCACAAGTACAATCTTTGCGTTCTTGGTATTGAGATTCACCCCTATTCTTGCCAGCTTACCTCCCATGACCAAACTAGGGGCACAGTAAATCATGTCATTGGTCTCGTTTGGCGAGAATGCAGCAGACGGCTGCATGTTACAAGTCTGTGTTCAAAGACCGAATCCGTCAAAAAGGGGCGACTGGGCAGTCCCATTTCGAAGGCTCCTTTAAAAGCAGTCTAGAAACGTGTCCTTCTTTTCCTGCTCCCTGAAGGATACGCTTGATGGATCCTTTGCAGCCCAACATATCCCGAAAGGTAAAGTGAGTGTGTCCCGGCTAGGCCATAACAGCGGCTCTTCGTGACTCAGGGGTTAGGGTTGGAACAGCTGGTGAATCAAATAGGAAATTATGCACAGGCTAGATCGTCCCATTTGACAAGGGTTTCTGTTCGACCTCAGATGAATGCAGCGTACAAAGGCTACACCTTAGACCATGTCCTTCAAAGGATGCAGCTCCTGAACCTGGACACAGCTGATGTATTCTTCATATTTGGGGTGGGACAAGAACGACATCTGGAGAGTTTTACCGGCCTCTGTACTTTTGTTCTTGAGTAATGGAACTGGTCTTTGGCAATGGAAGATGAGGTAAAAAACGGGTATGTGAGAGCCCGGCAGTTCTGCAACACTGTCGGTACTGTGCCCAGTGTCCTGCCACTCTCGCGTGACGCTTGTCTCTGAGTAGCAGAGTACTGGCAACTTGTGAGAAGTACGATAAAGATAAAGATATAGCAGTGCCGGTACTGCGTAATTTTTATTACGTATATGATCCCGCATTTGCGTTTGCTACACCCCGGCACATGTCTCCTCTTTACCCCGACCTGCAGAACTGCCGTAAACGTGAAAATGAGTTGCGCTGTGAATCTGCGGTCGATTACTTTTTCTCAAGGACCCGGATGTGTGTCACACTAGATTGAAATTGAATTTGCGAACTGAATTTTTCGAGGTAGGATAAATTCTATTTCGAGTTACTGGAATTCAGATTCAGACTATTAAATTCAGATTCAGTTTTGTAATGCGGATAACTGTAGATTCAAATATACAAAATTCATATTCAGTTTCTAGTGGCACAAATATCAGCCCATACACATTGCCCTGTCATTCCCTTGCCATTTTGCCAAATGATAGAATTTTATAAAAACTTTTACCCTTTACCTCTTTCTTGAAACAATGAAATGTAATGAGTGCATCATTTTAAAACATAGTTCTTTTGCTGTGTTCACAGCTTTATTTTTCCATGGTAAATTTGACCTTTATATGAAATTGCCCCGTTAGTTGCGCCAACAGCAATTCTTTAAGCTTAATGAAAAGGTGTGAGTTTTACTTACCTTAAACAGTTTCTGTGTGCAGTCTAATGGGTAATAAAAGAATACTGTGTATCTGGATATGAGATGCATGACACATAGTGAGCAGTTAAAGGCGTTTAATGAAGCATAGGTCATTTTTTGCTACAAGTGTCGAGACTGCAGCAGCTGGCCCCTAAACCCACACACAAAGTGGGGGAGGTCTGTCCGCCTCAGTGTGTGTGTGTGTATGTGTGTGTCTGAAGGTGATTAATCTGGGCTTGGCGCTGGCCCCTGTTCCGCTGACTCTCCCTCTAATAAACAGCTGACTCCATAAGCCGATAGATGGAGGGGTGGGTGGGTGTGCTGTCGCAGCCATGGGGCGCTGGCTAAATTACTCATAGCCATGTGCGGCCAATTAGTCTCTGTGCCTCTAATTGGATGTGATTGTGCTCTCAAGCCCTAATCAGAAGGAGAGGACGTGTACATTTGGGACCCTCCCCAACCTATCTCCCATTCCATGTCCCCCGCAGGCAGGAAAATGTCCACTTTCAATTGCATTAATACCAGGCCTGTACCACACTTCAATGCCCCCCAAGCATGCTAATGGCTGGGGGATGCTTACAGTTTTGTTAGTTCTGATTGCTATTACTCTCTGTAATCCGTTTTGTTTTTGATGCCTCCTGCCCTCCATGTTGCATCTCAGCCGCTGTCCCATGAGTCACCCCCGCCCCCCCCAGCCACCGTCATCTCGCCATTTCCTACTTTCATCTGCCAAATCCATGGTTTTTTTGGAATTATGCGCATGCTCACATGCTTCCAGTTGGGAGTGGAATCCAGCTATGGTGATATCGTGGCGGACGTCAGCCCCCTCCGCTTTCGTGGTGGTGTCTGAGGCTCGGGCCCTGGGGTGTCGTTTGTGCTTGTCTGTGGGTAACCGGGGCAAAGACAGTGTTGATTATATCAGTAGTGGTGATTCTAGATACTGTGACTGGGCCGTGTCAGACCCACAGTCTCCTGTTAGGACATGACTGTTGTTCAGGTATGACAGTTACAGACATGCTGACACACCGGCACACACTGTGGCTACTTCAGTCTGACTCACACCTTTTATTGCAAAATATACTGTTTTAACACCATGTCACCAAAGGTCGGAAACTTACTAAAGCTCCTAGCTGAAAAAAATGGCAATTTTTGTTATTTTAGGTACTTTACCTTGTGAGGATAATTTTTTTTTTACTTTATGCTGTCATTGTGGACATGTTTTCTCCAGAAATTCCCCACAAGGTTAGGAAACTGTGCCTACAGAAATACACAGACTTACCCACAAGCACCCACCAATAAACAAGCACACACTTGTGTTTACCTCTGAAAGCCTGAGTGCTTCTGTTACGACACCATTTCACATATTTTATTTGTGTACGTAAATATGATCCACTTGGATGCTCATGGTAGAAATCCCTGTGTCTCCCTGGCCTATACGTCCCCAGCTCCCACCTAACCCTCCCTCCAACCTTTTATGCCTCCCCAGGATCGCGTCTGCGCCAGGAGGACTCCCCTCCCCGCATTGTGGAGCACCCCTCCGACCTGATCGTGTCCAAGGGCGAGCCGGCCACCCTGAACTGCAAGGCGGAGGGCCGGCCCACACCCACGGTGGAGTGGTACAAAGACGGCGAGCGCGTGGAGACGGACCGGGATAATCCACGTTCGCAGCGCATGCTGCTGCCCAGCGGATCGCTCTTCTTCCTGCGCATCGTCCACGGGCGGCGTAGCAAGCCGGACGAGGGCAGCTACGTCTGCGTGGCCCGTAACTACCTGGGCGAAGCCGTCAGCCACAATGCCTCACTTGAAGTTGCCAGTAAGTCCTCTGGCTTTTGTTTTCCCGCTGTTTCCTTGGTTACCACGGTTGTGGGGGGGGGAGGTAGCTGAATCACGTTTTTTTCTCAGTTTCCTCCTTCAATGTGGTCGTCGGGGTGTATAATCTCGTCGGAGCTGGACCGAGGGTGTCTCTAGCTTCTTGTGTGGGACTCCCTCCACACCGAATCCTTACGGACGAGGGGGTCTCCATAGGTGGTCGTTACCCCCTGGCTGCTCTCACTGTGGACTTAGAGAGACTGAGATGACTTTGCCAGAGCGAGCCTTGTCTTTTAATGACTTTCTATTCTTCCTTTGTGAAATAGTCCCTCTCCTGCTGTGTAGATTCCTCATGATAAGGTTATTCTAAGTGGGATGTAACTAATATTAATGTGTGGGTCAGTGGATATGTTGAGATCTTTCTGGACAAAAACTTTGACAGGGTGGAGGCAGAATGAGATGATGGTGGATTGGGGGCAGTGGAGGTGTGGGTGATGCATTTAGTGAGTTTAATGCATGAGTTTTATTCTCATAGCGAATGGAGGCATGTTTTTTGAATGAGGATGAGGAGGACATAAAGAACATGAAGGGTGTCTGTTTGTGCTTCTGGGTGATTGGGGGCTTGGGGTTCTCAGATATCAGCGGCTTCTCAAGGACACACAAGAGCTGTCAGCAAGGCTCTTATTGTAATCTAATCAAGGCCATGGGGGAGGGGGTCTTTTTTAGGGCTCCACTGACTGATAGGACTCTCGTAGGGTGGGGCCAGTTTATAGTGTATCTGAAGCATGCCAACTTTGGAGGGGCACACTGGATTGACTGCTGACTGTTATCAAAAATGGCTATTGTGTTAACAACTTTGATTTCTGTGCTGTGTCAGCAATTCCAGGACAAGTTTTTGAAACAGAAACAGGGTTTTATAATCAGAGACAGATCACCTCTTCTAGTATAAAGAAATATATCTATACACACACACACACACGCACGCATGTATATAGTGGAGATTTGTTTTATTTAAGAATTCATGGCTGGGACTTGAGCTAAAAGCTGTCCACTTTGTCCTGCAGTATGTCCACAATCTTCTCCTGGATGAAACGGGCCTGTTAAACTAGAGGCACATTTGTGGGAAATGTCGCCAGTCGCCAATGCCAAACCTGAAGGCCTCTTTGTGCTGCGAGTGATCGCATAAGATAAACAAGGCCCTGTGCCTGGCTGACGTTGGGGCTTTCTATAAATCAGAGTGCTAATAATACTGTATGCAGGCATATGAAATAACAGTGTTTATTTCTGAGGTTTTTTACAGCAGAAAAACTCGGAGCTTGGCGGGACACACGCTAGCGATTCTCAAACGGAGCCGTAATGACACACTCGGCCGCGGTCCTCCGTAACCGGGGTAACAGGGGTTCAGGCAGATCATAGAGGAACGAGGCAGTAAATGTGCACATAATCCAGGGGAAGGATTCAGGACAAATTTATCCTGGAACATTTACAATGCGGGTAAACTAATCTGCTTAATGCATGTGCACTTATATTTATGTTTGTGTTTACTTACTCATCACAAATACTTTGAGCCTTCAGTCTTTTAGGGTTAGTAATGTAATAAAGGCTGGAATGATGACAGGTAAGAACAGTTTATACTTTTATTGCTGTAATAAAGAAGTCAGTGTTTATTATTCGCTATCCTCGTCTTTCACTGATACTCCAGAAAGGGCTGTTATTATTTTTTTTTCCAATATGTAGATGAGTTTTGAAAAAGCCTGTGTTGAAAAACAAATTCAGCCTTTTAAAATGAAATTACTGCTTACATGAAGTGTCAAATGTAACGGCTAGTCTGCAATCAAGTGACTAAACGTGATGTATTTCCACAAATGAGTGCAATTATTCCAGGTTTTTTTAATATATTGTCCCATATCTACACATAGGGCTGGGTAGTATATTGACTTTTTTATGGTATACTGCTATAATTTCAAGTAAGATATAGGATGAGACAGTGCACCATGTATATCAATATACTTTCATTGGGCTTTAAAATTAGGGCCGTGAAAGTTGCCATTCATTTTACGGTCATGATGCATTATTATTTCTTTGATTTGCAATATTTTGATATAATAATTGGGGAAAAGTATGAGCAAAAATTTTAATAGAGACCTATAGTATTCCTTCCTGGTTTTAAACACTTTTGATAGGTGCTGTTTGCCTCACATATGTCTCTTTGGACAAAAAGTCTGATAAATAAAATAAACATAAATAATGTGGCAACTTTGGCCGTGATGCTACACTGAATCCCAGAAGCTAGAATGGAAACATTCAGTTTGCGTCTCACTGGAAAGCTGGTACAGTCGCATGCTGAGCAAATGTTGTTATATGGCTCATATTGTTTCAGAAAATTGCCAGATTGGATAAAAACATAGTTTGCAGTATTTGTTAGTGACATCTTACTTGATTTACAGCTCACTATTAAGCTCACTTCATAGAAAATATTGAGATATACATTTTGTATCGCTATTCTGCCTAAAAACCATACAGATATCGGCAAGCTTTTTCTGCATAATTCCCCTCCCTAGGTCAGCTTGCTTAAAGTCATACGTTCTTAGTCACTATGAAAAATGTCAGCTTCGCACAAACAGTGTTAACAAAGACGCAGACTGAGAACGACGTTCAAAATGAACTTTTCTCTGTGACCAGTGGCCCGTCTGTTAGGTTTTACTGATCCAAGATGTGCAAACAGAGCAGTGTGAGAATGCTTAATCCTAGAGAGAGAAAAAGGCAAAGAATTACTGGTGCATTACAGTCCTGGAACGAAGCACACCTTTGAGATTTAACTGGTATTTATTTGAAATAGCCTTTATTACAGCTTTCTGGGGTCACATCAGTTTATGGTTTTTGTCTATTCCCATCCATTTGTGTTCCCTCTTGGCACATCACAAACCAGACACTGCAGGAGAGATCATTTAATTACCCAGGCTTGGTCTTAGACAATTTGCATATTGTTATTGGGCAGCCATTTAAAGATTCACGCTGGTTCTTAATGCAAAACCTGCAGGTCCCCAGAGACCACATGTCTTCCGCATGTCTTTTTATCCCTCCATGGGTTCTTTTTGCAGTAATTATTTCTCCCCCGTTTCCCACTGTTGACCTGTAGAACAGTTTGATTGTTAAAATGTAATTGTTACTGTCTTGAGGAAGGAATAGTGAGCTTTGGATAGTGAGCGAGCCTCTGAGCCTGGGACGTTAATAAGGGCTACAACGTCTCAGCCGGGCAAAGGCTGTTCCTCTCTCAGTAATTTGCCGCTCTCAGTGAAAGCTGCCAGTGATCAGCTGTCTGTATTTATGGAAAGACAAAACTTTGCTTGGGGGTGGCGGGGGGCATGGGGGGGTTTGCAGGAGCAGACAGAAACCAGATCAACACTGCAGTGGATCTAGTGACGGCACATCAACCCAAATACCTGCCCAAGAGTCATCGTGTCAAGCAGCACCATTCATTGGTACGGTTCTTAGTCTGGCTCCCTGATTTTCCTATCCATACATGTTCTAGCTACCTATCAAGGGCAGCATCACAGGGAGCCTGGAGACAGTTCTGGAATGGCAGCGCATGATTGGGCAAAACACCATGGGCAATGTGATCTCCTAACGACGTCCTTGGAGTGCAAAAGAAAACCTGCTAGAAATCCATGCAGCCATGCGAGAACCTGCAAATGCACACCCTGAGTAGGGGATTCGAACCCGTCTTGGAGGTCTGCAGCAGCTGGATTACCCACTGATCCACTATGCCCCCCACATTTGTTATCAAAGACCATTAAATGTTAGAAGTTCTTCTTCTGGCTGAACAAAGTTTCAGTAACAGTACTGGTTAGTCAGAAATTGCATTTTTGGGATTGTGTAAAATATAAACATGGATCTGTACATTTGCATTATAGACTGACACTATATATAAATACACACATGAGTATATATATATATAAACACACAAACCAGATTAATTGCTAATATTGGTTCAAAGGAATACCAAATGTCATGAAATCAGCCTTGGTGCACAGTTAGAACATGGAATGTTCTGGAATATACTGTGGTTACCAGTAAAAGAAATTCTGTCACTGTATTTTGCTTACGGCTCTTTCTATGTGTTCATGAATGTCGTGCCACTCAACTCAACAAATCTCTTGTTTGAAACCCATCAATCACAGCCAGTCTAGTTCTTTTAATGTCCTTGCAGGAAATCAATTCAGCTGATTTGATTGTATGTGGTGTAATTGTTTACTAGCTATTTTCCGCTGTGACAAAATTACTTCTCCAGGTGCTTTACATGGGGGGCACAGCACACTGATTATGTTATACATCCACAGAGACTCCCCCACTAACTTAACCTTGAGAGCAGATCTACATCTCAATCGTATTAGCCCAGTTAATTGACCTAGGAGCAACCTTCACACGCCCACTCATATGCATGCCCATCAGTGCTGATTGGGAGGTGCACTTGGTGTAAACCCACCCCACTTGAATTGTGGGTAACTAGGGGGAGGCTCAGTGTGATGGGACGCTCCCTACATCGGAGGGGGATTGACCAAAACAATGCTTCACTGTGCATTATTGTAAAGAATGGGAGACATAGTGGGGACAAAGGCACTGGCATCATGCTCGAAAACTGATGGTCAGAGAATGGATGGGTCATGGAGGGGGTCATGGAGGGGGTCATGGAGGGGGTCATGGAGGCATTTTCAGGGCGGAGGCAAGCAGCATTACCGCTGCCCTTTCTAGGCCACGCTGTTCTGTTTCCCCTCTTTGATACTCGGCCAGATTCCTGAGCCTGACCTGCGGACATCCTCCACACCAGTCCTCTGAATGTCACCCCCACTGCCCCTCTGAAAAGACTGGCTGTACTGAAGGTGTCAGGCTTGTCTCTGGTGTGATCAATCACACGGGCATTGGCTTCCCTGGGGGGCCTTGGCCATTAGGCCTGGTTCATGCTTCGTGCAGACGCGGTCGCACCGTGGCACGCGAGCTGCAATG